AAATACTGGTTAAAGCAAGTAATCACCTGAGAAGCAAAAAAATTCTTTTGATATATTTTGGAAATTGCTTACTCTGAATGAAATGCTGCCTGAATATTTGAGCGAGACTTCATCTTTAATCAATTCAGTTGCCTTTTATTCATTTCAGAGCATCTCTGTTTTTCAGGGTCTGGATGAAGAGCAGAGTGTGCAGTTACTACAGTGTTATCTTCAGGAAGATTACAGAGGGACAAGGGACTCCTTGAAGGTCTGTAGCTCACACTTATGTTCTATTTATTCCACATCTTTCCTTAATCCCAGTAGCTCACTGATGAATGGTCGCCTACAAGTCTGAGTACTGATTTGGAAATGGCTTTGTAGCTTTTCTTCTCTGAACCTGCAACACTTAGGTGCATTTTCTGTAACAAATGTGATACTAAATAATCAGGCCTGACCTTCTAGTACCTCGTCCTGCTTTCCTCAGATTTCTTTGTGAGGACTTGTGTCCTCTCTGTTGCAGAATACATGAAAGCTACAGATTTTTAAAGGAGAATGAGTAGAAGTGAAGAGCAAATGTTTACTGACAAATGGAAGTTTTGGCTTTGTATTTTCAAAATGTATCTTTCCAAAACAAAAGAGACAATTCCTCTTTCCATTTGCTTTCAGTCCTTTTTGTGAGCATGTATTTTATCAGCAGGTCTTTCTGCAGGTGGTAGCTCCTTATTTTGTTGTGCTTTGTTTACAGACTGTTCTTCAGGATGAAAGGCAGAGTCAGGCTCTGATGCTGAAGGTTGGTCATTTCCATTTGTATTTTCTTATGAAAAGATCTAGTGACAGAGAACTAGCTTAATTTGTATGGATTTGGAAAAGCTAGGAACGATTAAGCAATTCTTTTCATATAAACAACAGATTTTGGAAAAGGCTTAAGAAACAGGAATGTACATGCAGATCTGAACAACATGAGTAATTGCTGCAGAAATTTTAGACTTTATGCCAGGGAATTTAGCTAGCCAGACATACGCTCCTAAGTTTTCCAAAGCTTGCAAGTTTATGTATTGTTATATGAAGTGGCCACTCTGAAATGGGGATTGATGGTCGTACCTGAGTGAGGATCATAAGGAATGAGAGAACATCTGCCCCTCTTTTGAGAGATCATGTCTCTCCCAAGCTTTCTCAGTTAGCAGCGTAATTATAGTCATGTCCCCATAGACATGTTTTATTCATTTCTTTAAAGTTAATTAAGCGCTTTTTCAGATAACTTAAAACTGCACAGAAGCATGATGAAACTATTGCAGTGTTTGAGCATTGTATGTTGTGCTGAAGGTCTTGGCAGTATACGAGAGAGGATCCAGAATCCCCTGTTTTTACTGATGCCAGTGTATGTTCACAGCTTGCTGACTATTACTATGAAGAGAGGATCTGCATTCTGCGCTGTGTCCTCCACCTACTCACTTATTTTCAGGATGAGAGGCACCCATATACAGTGAGTACAGGAACCTTTTCCTGGATATAATGTTGGTGCATAGCCTAAATATGTAAGTTTACACAGTCATTGCCCACCTGTGGCTATAATAAACACAGGAGTTTGCATATGAGTTCTTTTATTTACTTTTTTTTTAAGGCACAATACTTTCAGTGTGTTGAAAAGTTGGACAAGGAATTGGTTCCTAATTACCGGAAGCAGTTTGAAGAGCTGTACAAAGCAGAAGCTCCTACGTGGGAAACACATGGAAATCTCATGGTATTTTGTTTCTTGCAATTATTTCTGAATATTGTAAATTCTTTATTTGTCGTTTTCTGGATAGTGAATACGTGCCAAAACAGTTAAAAAGGATATTTTTCTGTTCTGTGAAACACGAAAAAAAATCCTTTAAGGGAACACACTTTTGATCTAGAGCAAAAGGAGATATTGGAAATATATTCTTCCTTGTAACAAAGGCATTGATAGTGCTAGGCCAACAGATCCCTTTCTCTGCATCCACACACCCTGTGTTAACAGTGCGACAGAAGAGCAGGTTTTCTTGGCATTGGTTCAAGCCACTTACTAAACAAACTACTGAAATGCCCCAACACTTTATGGTTTCTGGTTGCTTTTACTGATTTGTGAACTCCAGTCTGTAATAGTAGGACCTTCTCCTGTGCAGACAGAACGTCAGATTTCCCGTTGGTTTGTGCAATGCCTCCGAGAACAGTCCATGCTCCTGGAAGTCATCTTCCTCTACTATGCATACTTTGAAATGGCACCTGATGAGCTTCTGGCATTTGCAAAGATGTTCAAAGAACAAGGATTCGGCACGAGACAAACAAACAGACACTTGGTAGATGAAAGCATGGATCACCTGGTGGACCGTATTGGGTAACTACCATGTATATTTGTGGAGTGGGTGTGGAGCAAAACAGTTGTTTTCTTTGGTTCAGTGTGATGACGGTAAAATTGGCTTTTCTGGTCATAGCAGGCATGGGTAGCAAAATGAAGGCGTAGCTATGAAGTAGAGAGGCATATGTGTACTAGCTTTAATTCATTGTCACTGGTATAACTAGAA